AACATAAAATGTACTATCTCTCATTTTAAAAGCGCTTTCTCTTCTTCGCTCTTTATGTGTGTCTCTACAAATAGAGAGGGATATAAAAAACAAAATACAAAAAAAAATCATACCAAAGCAAAACCTTATTCAAAACAGTTCTCTATTTAAAGCAAATTTCAGTTCATTTTATTGTGATTCCCTCTCTTCAATATACCTAGCAGAAAATGATAAAAGGAAAATATTTTATGATTTTAGTTCTTCATTATTTTTTAATTTAATAATTCTTTTCTTTTTACCTGTGTATAATGTTACTTCGAAAAAGATTATAGAGTCACTTGGCTTTTTTGAAGCAGGAGACGTGAAAAATGTGCAATATCCTCGCTAAGACTCGAACTTGGGACCCGCGAATACGCATCGAGCGTGCTTCTAGTTATATCACCAAGGCATGCGAAAATGAGGGAGAAAATACTTTATTTACTCGCCCTTTTAAAGGGCGACTGGGTCCCAAATCCTGGGTGAGGAGAATCATCATCCAACACCCTTTTAGTTCGGGCGCTACTGTAGAGACATTAGGTATTTTTGGAAGCAGGCAAGATGAAAAATTAACAACGCCTTCGCCGGGAATCGAACCACGGATGGATTTATTTGCCGACTTTTGAAAAATCATTCCCGTTTAATCAGTATTAATAATCAGTGTTATATCAATGAATCAGTACTGTAGCAGTATTAATCAGTATTAATATCAGTACCAGTATTAAATCAGCCTTTTATCAATTCTGCATCTGTCATATTTGCATCAGTTATGTACCAATAATGTATCTTAAATATTAATCTGTAACTCTGTAACATGTTATTTTGTATGTCTTTTCGTGCACGTTGAATATCTTTCAGGTGGCATTATGTATTTCTAAGGGGTGTTATAGATAGTGGTGGATGTGGTGCTATACTGATTAACTGTTTGGTAAGAGGATAGTGCCCACGTCTTCCGTTCTCTCTCTCTCAATTACGCGCTGAGCGTGCAGACCACTATACCACGAAGGTTCGCTAAGAAGGCGGGAGAAATACCTTATAACTTTGTCGTTTAACATTTCTCATCGCTGAACACTTTTTTTTTAAAGTTCTAAAATTTGAAAGGAACATTTAGAGTAAATTTAAGTTTTTAGTTATAGCAAATGATTAAATCTATTCGATAAGCAAAATAAACATTTATTCCAGTAGTTATATCACCTCTATTAAAAATTTTTTCAGTTTTTAATTTTACAAAACATAGGATATTTTTATACTGGAGAGCTGAAAAATGTGCAATGCCCTTCCCGGGACTCGAACCCTGGAATTTTCGAATACGCGTCGAATATGCTTCTAATTACACCACGAAGGCATTCGGAAAGCAGAGAGAAAAATCCTATTTAGTTTCCTTGTTCTTATACCCAGTACATTTTCTGATGATCTTGTGTTTTATTATAATAAGAAAATACCTTATGTAGTTTCCTTCTTCTGATACCTAGTACATTTTCTGATGATCTTGTGTTTTATTATAAAGCAAACTACGTTTTGATAAATCCAAGTAACTTTTCTTTGGTGCGTGCACTAAAAGTAACACCTAAATTTATTCCACTAGTATTGTTACTATGATATAACGATTTGAACTCACAATGTTCAATTAAAATTAAGATATGCTGATATTTTTATTTACCTACACATTAGTTCATTAAATTGTACTCGAACAGATCAATATGCCAAGACGCAATACTTTTATTAAGCTATTTAAATCTTTTTTCCTTTGTGTGTATGAGCTTAATAGCTGTAGGAGAACATATTACAGCATAAATTCTCTTCTTCTAATGTATTATTGATTTCCTTTTCACTAATGCTCTATTTAGATTAATTTTTGATTTGATAGTTTTGTATCTCGCAAACTGATGTTTTCTGGATTATTTACACGTCAATTAAAATTAAACTATTAATACATTTTTATAGTATCTTAGTTTAAAATTATTGCTACTATATAAATTTTGTTACTTTAGCTCAAATAATTAATTTTAATTTCTTATTAATATGAAAAAATCAGTTTCCGAATTAATGAGTAATATTGCTGTCTTCTTTCATTTTGCACTCATTCTATATTCTAGGATTTTAATGAATTTTTTTCTGTAACTGAATGCTCTAAAATAAAATTTTAATATGGTAAAGGAATTTTAGAATGATTTTAAATATGATTTACATTAAAATAATTTCCTAAACGAATTTTAAGAGATGCTAGTCCTACATTTTTAATTTTCGCATTTTTAGTAGAAAGCTCTCCTGTAAAGATCACATAATTTTTCTAAACTTTCACCCAATTTAATTCTTTTTTATTCTGACGAAAAAGCTACTAATGATTTATCGTGTTAATCTTGAATGAAAATGAATTAAACATCTTTTGATATTTACTGTGGATTATAGCTAACTCTTTATTTCATAGCGGAGGTACCAAATTAAGATTTCTGCCACAATATTAATTAACGTTATTAGAAAAAAATAATTATTAATTCATATAATAGTTAAGTTATCCCGAAACATGTAACAGATTTGAAATGCCAAAGAATTAAAAAAATTTCTTTTACTTCTGTTGGTAATAGCTAGTTAACCCATAAAATTTAACACTGTATAACATGCATGTAATACTGCTTGAATAAACATGTTTTGAGAGTGATTGGCTCTCTTATTTTAAGCAAAATAGTGTATATGTAAATCATCTCATTGTTTTCTATTTTCTACTTTGCGTGACACATATTGCACAGCATTGCAATGTAAATACAAATTTAAGATAATCGAAGAAGCTTTGTTAACTCAAACTTATATTTAGTAAAATGTGATATAATATCAAAGAAAGATGCTGAATTTGCTGAGGAATCTTATCGGGAAAGAGATAAACTATCAAACTGAAGACTTGAATATCGCTGACTATACACTATACTTATCATTTGTTTATATAATATACCAACTTTCTAAAATAAATTACTTTTACCTGTGCTTTTATGTTTACCAAGCTTTATGTTTGAAAAATAAAAACTATATGCTGGCAAAAATCAGTTTATCAACAAAATTCATAATAATGAAATCAAACAAGCAAAATGTTAAAACTGTTTAACTGCTACATAAATGAGAATTCTAGAAAACTTATTATTATAATTTTTAATATATTTCACTTAGATTTAAACATAAAAATACTGAAAATACATTCGTGTAGTTTGCAATAATTTTTATATGTCAATCATGATATAAAATGATAAAAAATGAATGTTAAAACAGCTGCTAATTTTACTTTGATTCAATATTAGGTGTTTCATTCAATCAATTTTATTACTGAAATATTATATGGCAATTGCCTTTTTTTCTTACTAGTCATTTTTAAGACTTAATTTTAAAAATATTTTTACTTCCTTGCACGATGTAAATGAAGCATTGTAATCGCAAATAATGTCGGATATTATATTTCAATGAAAATATTCATCTTGATTGCTCTCTAATCCATTTAAACGATGTTTTTGCGTAACATCTATACGGGCAGACAGAATAAAGGACTCTTTTTTGAAAGCGGATTGCAAAAGGAATTTAAAATGGATTCAGGAAAATTTTTTTCGTAACATCTGTACCTACGTACGTATGCATATATTTCGCATAACTCAAAAACGGGTATCCTCAGAAACGTTGAAAATTTTGTAAATGACAATCCTACAGCATTTAGCTGTGCATCTCTATTTTTTGCTGCACTCGATCGTTTCAAACGTATGTATATATACAGATATGTATATATATATATATATATATTATATAATGTTGATGATCTAAAATTCACTTAATTCGAAAACAAGTTTTTTCTAATACTTGCGCAATAGCTGCAAAGTAAGATAATAATAATTTATTTAATAAAGAAATATTGATTATATTATCTCCTAATATAATTTTAGTAGAAGTATCAAAATAGAGGAAACCCATATGCAGGAAGTTTATTCCTAAAATTGTGTTCTAAAGTACATGTTTACATGGACTTTTAAATATGTTTAAAGTACATGTGTTTTAACACAATTTTCTGAATTAAACTTCCTACATATGGGTTCCCTCTTTTTTGATACTTCTACTAAATTTATCTTAGGAGATAATATAATCAATATTTCTTTAGTAAATATATATATATATATATATATATATATAATATACTAATATACACATACCAACTTTGTTACCCAGCTCGGTACAGTTTAAAAGAGATTTAAATGGTTTTAAGATTAACGACGCCGCAATTTGCTTGCATGTGATACTCTTAGTAGAACAGTAAATTAAGTCAGTTTGCGCATCAACTTCAGTGCCTTTTTTCCCAGTGAAACCAAAAATCAACTTTCAAGTCTATGCACAGAAAAATCTGTCTTCCTGTTCGCTACCCGCATTGCTTGTTTTTGCGTACGAACTCTAATTTTAATTGTAAAAATTATTTTTATTGTTTAATGTTTTTCTGTGTTTTACAATTTTTAATCAACGTTCTTTGAGGTTTTATGTATTTTTGCTGCGAAGTGAGAACTGAATTGATTGAATTAAAAATGTATCTCTAATTCTATTCGAGGAAATACCTTTAAATGGGATGCCACAAAAAAGTGTGTATAATTTAATATAGGCCGTACAAGGAAATCATGTAGTGTCCACATGAGATTTTTTCTATTTATGTTACGGATTATACTCTCTGAGGGGTTCTAACTCTTCAAACATATGTAAGCAATAAAAATAGATTCAGTGAAAATTTACAATAATGAAAATAGTAATAAACTAACATCCTGATAAGGTTATTATGACACAGTATGGTCAAAAAATATTATTATGATTAAATTATGATGATGAAATTAAGATATGAAACGAAAGCATGGCGAAACAATTTAAATAGCTTGTTTATGATGCAGTTAAGATAAGAAACATCATGATAAAACTATTTAAATAACTTATGTAACGAATGTTTGATTAATTCTTTTCAATTCTTTCCTCTTCAGAAAAGTGAACAAATCTTACAGAGGAAGATCGTGCCCTATTGTTGTTCACTGCAGGTAAGAAGCATGTTACTACTTTCATTGCATCATAAAATATTTTCTTTCTTTTCTGACCTAAGATCACTTTTTTTTTTTTTTTTTTTTTTTTTTTTTTTTTTTGAGACGAGACGTTTGGAACGAGAGGAAGTCGGATAGAAAAAATTTCAGCTAACATTAGAAAAACTGAAACAATAATTTACTGTGTATACGAGCAATAAATGTGCAAATGAAATACTGTTTAATAGTTCAGAAACTAGTTTCGCATGTACAAGTGGTCATCAAAACGTTTGCGTTCAGAAACACTGGTGAATGCGTATTTATGTGTAGTGTACCCATGGTGAAGATTGCATGCCATCATGCCACCAGATGTTTTCAAAACGGGCTAATACAACGTGCGGCAGGGAAAATTCCTTATTTGAAACGCGACATCTAGCGACATTTATTCCGAAAAGGGTGGGGTGGCTTAATGATATTATTTTTAAACTATAATAAAAAAAAACTTTAAGTGTCTCTTAACTTGGGAGAAAATTAAACTAATATCGCTTATACTATTTGCATTGTTCATTTTTGAAATAAGGTAGTTACTCTGCCCAACCTTGTATAAAGTTGTCCTTTTCACCTCAGAAGAAAATGTACTGTACTGTAGTTCATCCATCACGATATTGTAATACACTTGCATTATGTATGCATTTAAGAATAAATATAGATGTGGAGCTCATCAGTACAGTTTAAAAATTTTAATTGAGTGGTTAAAAATTTATTCAATTTGCCATTCTTGGTAACATCCATAAAGGTATCAAGCTTGATAGCTCTTCCTTAGATTGCCAAGCACAAAAACAGAAATAAGATTTCAAATTATAATTTCTATAACACTGTACAATCCAGATCCCTGAAAAATATCTCTGAAGAAAAGCGTCCCAGTTATTTAATAACATGAATAAAGATTAAATGAATATTTTAGACAACAACCTGCAGATATATGCAGAAGAGATTTGACTGTTTTTCTACTTTGGTTTATCAATGGTATAAGTAGCTTCAAGTCGATGGCATATTTTTCTAGGTAGAATGAACAATCTGGGCAATTCGGTATTCCAAGCATTTTTTTCATGCTGCTATCATGCATACAAATGATGGAAAAAGCAGTGGGAACTCAAACTACGTTTTTAGACTTTATAAAAGATTTTACTAAAATAAAAGAGGTCTTTATTTAATAAATTATAATTTTTAGCTTGATGAAATGAGTAAATTATTAGTTTTAATAAAACGCAATGTTTCATCTTTTATATAGGTCGATAGTTTGCGACGAAGTCGGTAAATGGCAACAGATAAATGTCTATACACAACTAGCTTGTTAAAAAAATCTTTTCCTTTTAAAATGTTGAACGCTCCATTGCTATGTGTGATTAGAAAACATTTATTATACATTAAATATCAATTTTTCTGACAAAATATTTTTTTTCATACATATATTCTCGTATGTCACAAAGAGTATTTTTAAAGTCTTATAAAACAAAATGATTTTAAGAATGTATAAAATGATTGATAAGATATTTAAATTCTTAAGTTCTAATAAATCATTTCGATTTAGGAGAATTTAAGGACAGACGTTAAATTTCTAGAGGGAAGCATTTCCTCACTTTTAATATGCAGATCTGAAAGTAAAGACATAAGTTTAATACGTACAAAATATTAAATGCATTTTAGAATTATAATTATAAGAAAAACGATGAAATTTAAAAAATTAACTGAAGATTTTTGGGAATTTCGTCCATACATCTTTAATAAAAAAAACGAAAAAATATTATAAGTAATAAAAACAAGTCCTTGTTCAACTTAAAATTATTGTAGATTATATACATGAAGTTGATAATTTTTCTTTACTAAATAGAAGCATTTAAACTTGAAAAAATCGCAGTTTAAGTGCAAGACGTATGTAGTACGTTAACTATATTTTTGCATAAATGCAATCTTGTTAAAAGACTTAAAACAGGTTATTGTTTAGAAATAAAGTATTTAAAGTGTTTCAAAATAGTTTATTTTAGCTTGTATTGTGTTTATTAAATGAATAAAATATATACTCATATACATTCAAATTAGTATAGTTCCACAGAGGTTTTCACCTTCTTAGCATTAAGACGTGGTTTAAAGTTAGTTTTAAAATTCAGTACATTTCAAAGATAACAACAAAACTAATACTAATTCAGAAGTCAAACAACAAAAATCAGCGTTAATTTACAAAGTTTTTCACAGGACTAGTTTTCGATGGTTCGGTAAAACCATCGAACTAGTCCTGTGAAAACTTTGTAAATTAACGCTGATTTTTGTTGTTTGACTTCTGAATTAGTATTTATTCGGCGTGTTATTGTGTCTTAACAAAACTAATCTATCCTGTAATAGCTTTCCTGGACCTGTCCATATTGCATGTCAGAATACTTTGGTTGTTAAAGAGGGATCTTGTGTCTTTTACTTCTTTAATTTGACATTAGTGCAAAATATAAGTTAAATTTCAGAGATTTTGAAAAGAATTACTGCTTTAAAAACATTAACATTGTATAAAGTAGAAAGATTCTTCTCATACGTAATACATTTTTGGATTTATAGGAATAATCAATTTTCAAAAAGTTTCGAAAACATATTCAAATACGATTAAAATAATTTGAAGAATTTCAATAAAATAACTTTTCAGTGATAATCTTAAGTATGAATAGAACGAAGATGAATGAATAGAATATTTTAAATTTTTAAGAAACGAAATTACTACGTAATAATAATTGCAATCTTACAACTGTTTTTCTGTTCAATAGGAGATATATGATTCGTTTGAAGATTTTCATAAAAAATACATAAATTCTGCCTTAAGTCTTGATATGTAAGATTAAACAAAGCAAAAAAAAAAAAAAAAAAAAAAAAAAAAAAAAAAAAAAAGATTAAATAATTATTTGTAAGGAAAGTTCCGTCAGTACATATCATATGCAATTAGTGTATAAACGTAATTTCTGGCATTTAAATTTATATATACTCACAGAATGTTATTGATAGCATTTGCATTTATATGTATATGATCATTACATAATTAATAATTAAACCGTACCAGAGATATGTGTAACTATACATGTCATTGTGAATATATCCAATTGTGCTCTCACGTAGGTAAGACGTTCCTTTATGAGAAATAATATGTTCTTTGGTGAAAACAAAATACGTAACAATCGTTAGCCATAGCTTAAAAGTAAGAAAATCGAAGAAAAGAACTTAAAAACCTGTCATATCACCAGAATAAATTATTATAAGATACAGTAAACGATACTTTAATGCTCATACAAGCGTTTGTATCTTTGTAGGTAAATGATGTTTTTAACATGTCCATTCCATTAAACATAATGTGCCCAACGGCAAACGCTGTATGCAACAGCGAGTTTATGGACTAAGGCGGAACGCCACAAAAGTGGTATTGATTCAGACTAACAGGCTAGTCAATATCTTCCAGAGAAAAAGATGACTTAAGCCCATTAGGGGCATTGTCTCTCCAGGAAAAAAGGGTTGTTTTTATTGCCGGTTGTTCTTTTCAGAAGATTAAGTGTTCCTTTTGAGCACTTGTTGCGATGGTCGCTTTCATGAAAGAGCTGTGCGATTAAGGCAGCTTAGGTGCATTTCGTTTTCACCAAATTTTTCAAATATTAATTAATCGTAATTAATATTTCAGTTAAACTCATTCAGTAACAAGACTGATATTTCATCTTTTTTTAACAGATATCTTAAACGATGTTATTTATTCTGAGTTAGGTAATTGAATTTACGACTAACGACTTTTTATAAGAATAACAAAAACGTTTTGTTCACATCCGGGTTGTTACGCAATACACGTCATGGAGCAACAAGTAAGTAAGTTAAACTTTAAATTCAAAATTTCATCAACCTCTTTTCACAAACATTAATATCTATTCATAAAATTTTTTAACGTCATGTGCTCAAGCATTTTTGCTTTAGATAATATAAAATTGTAATATCTATACTATAAAAATGCAAATTTCTTTAACCATTCCGAATTCTAAATTCGCATTTCAAATATTAAAATTGCAAATTATTATATAACTATATTGTGGTCATAAAATATCTTTTACTGGTTATGGATTCCTAATCCATAATACCTTTGTCTCAAACTTTGTTTGACTTGAATTTCATGGAGTCATAAAAATAATAAATTCAGTGATTTGTCATACCATAGGCTAAAAAATGGATGTATGAGCTTGCATTGTAATGAAACGTCCAATTATGGACTCACGTTAATGTTGTTTTATAGAAACAGTTTTCTCCGTTTCAACTTCTCATGGACAGATGAGCAGTATTGCGAAGAATTAGCTTTCGATAGTACAGTTGGTTGTTATTTCTAAAACTGATAGTATAGTAATTTATGATAGTAAATCTATAAAGTCTTTTTTCTGTTATATTTGTACAATTTGTATCTAATATACGTCCAAAATTTTATTTTATTTCTTAATAATGCTATTATTTCTAACACGCTAATAACGCGATCAAATGAAAACTTTACGTTATAGTACTCAAAGACTTTCTAATGAACATAGTTTAATTAAAACCTAAAAATGTATCAATATTTTATACGCATGCATTGCTCTATCAATTTCGACTGTTTCAAATAAGAAAAACCAAGTAGAAGGATAATCCAAATATATAATGAGCTTATAATTTGGGAGGCTTTCAAATAACTTTTTTATTTCTCGTTTATTCAGAAGTTTACATACCACTTTCATCTTATTTCAACGAAATTAACGCTTTAAGACACTTTAAGAACGCTCTGAGACAGTTTGGTTATTGAACATTATATTTACTTTTATGGTAAAAAAAAGCTTGTTTAATATTTTTAAAAATTTCTTTAGTGATGGTATCGGCCGAACTGGAACATACTGCTTGATTGATATGGTTCTCAACCGCATGGCAAAGGGTAAGTCTCACTTATTTTTTATATTTTAATTGTATAATAATTGTTTGACTATTCATGTGTTCAGGTGTAAAATAAAATAATATTTTATTACCAATGAGCATTGATATTTGCCTAATCTCTTAATTTAACCAAAAATCGTAAAGCACTGAATTTGGAGTAGCATTTTAATAATGTCCTCTATAATCATAAATATAATTGTAACGATTCCAATACCAGATTGAAACTAAATTTTTCTGTCTTGGGAGATCGCTGTAAATATACACATTTACATCTGCGTCATATATAAATCCACAGCCCGTAGTCAAGTTGTTTTTCCCGCTTTTTCGACACGTACAGTTATAGAATGTTCTGGAGATATTTAAAGCGAACTGGATTGGCTGACGAGGCCGACGTCATTTTTGGAAGCTCCGCCTTTCCAGAGGCTATAAAAAGACTCGCAAAAGGAATATCGGGGCTTTTTGTTAAATGTTACGATGCAGTAAACTTCATACAAAAAGTTATTAATAATTCTTTTTTTACTTTTTTATTTTTTTTACTAATTTTATTTATTCGATCAAATAAAAAAATATTTTTTTTTCAAATTATTTAAAGATAAAATATTCTTCAAAGCACTAATTCTTAAACGCCTCTTTGGGCTGATGAAAAATAGAATAGTGTTGTGATGAATGCAAATGTAGAGGTATCTTTTATATATATATATATATATATATATATATATATATATAGATATATTTTATAACATATTTTTATCTTATATATATATATATATATATAAGATATATTTTAATATTTTTTATCTATATATATATATATATATATAGATAAAAATGTAAATCAAATTTATAATTTAAATTAGCAATAGCCACTTATTTCCCCCTCTCTATTCTAAAAATAGTAATGCCTTTTTCTGGATCAATCCATATCATGTGACTTGCTTAACGCTAATGACGTAGCTAATTCGGAACTTGAACTCAAAATTTCGAGAACTGAAACGTTCTTATAATAAGCAACTCAAACCGAAACCTTCCCATGGTGAGCTTGTATACTGGATAACTGTCCACTTTTTGCTTCTACCAGTCTTCCCGCTAAAATGCTATGCCGCTCACTGACGTGTCGCTTAGCCTTCACTAACTACTGCCCTTGCTCTAAAAATGTAGTCTGTATAAAATGTTGGGGTGCATAGCGCCCCCACACTGATGATGTGCAATGCAAAAGTATGTGTCCTGAGAACTAATTATCAAGGAATAAAATTATGTGTGGAATTTTAGGCTACGTCTGACTTCGAGCGTCATCTTTCTAACTACGCAGTAAAGCCTTTCCAAAGTATTACAACACAAAGAACCATTGTCAGTTTGTTGAGACTTTATCAAAGTCATCTCATTATATAAATAAATGAAAATGATATAATAAGAGAAATGAGCTGTTAAAAATTAACGATACATACATATTCATATGCTGCTTTATATTTCATTTTCTAATTTCAGTTTAAAAATAGTGTATTATAGATAAAAACGCTTATAAGCTTGTAACTACGTCGGAAAAACAGGATTTTCCATTACTTAGCTATTTCTTTTTTTTTTTACTTGCTGCATTGCCAATATTTTCACTTGATTATATCATGTTCAATGCGGATCCTTTTTTCTAACGGATGTACAAGTCAACAGTCTACAGCAGAGATCTCTAAACGTCTTTCAAAAGCCAATTTTATAAATTAAAAGAGCACGCGCCTTTTATTACTTTCTTAACAGCAATCGCTTTTGCATTTGTTATCCAAGATGAGTTAAAATGTTGTTAATAAGTTCAAGAAGCATGTAGAACGCTTAGAATAGATGTGGTCCCGGGTTACGGAGGAAATACTATCCTGAGATGATTTTCAGCTCAAAATAATGTGTAATTAGAATTCCTAATTAATAAAAATAGTAATAATTCATGATAATATTGGCAATGCATAAATGTATCTTGCTGCAATAAACACTTCTGAGGTGAGAAAATAAGCTAAAAGTTTTCGGTAGATAACGATAAAGATGTTGATAAAGGGAATGCAGTGTATGTTCAAGAACAGGATTTCTATTCTTTAACTGTTAGTATGGGAGATACCATTAAAGTCAGTTTTCTAAAAGAATATCCTCTTTATGGAGATATCTTTTTAAAATCGGTAAATGGATACTCACAAAATCAGATCAAAAGATGAAGTCAGTGGTGATATGTACTAACTGCCTTGTAAACAGTAAGACTAGTTGCCTGTGTAAAATGGTTAAATTTTTCCTAACCAATTGCAGAGTAAGACACTTTCAGTAACTTTTGCTAAAATGAAAAGAAAACTTTGCTTAAAATGTAATTTTATTATTTAACACACTTAATATCTCAGTTTTTCGGTTGCTCACATGTTACAATGAAATTCACGAAAGAGATCCCGTGGTTCTAATCAGCTACTATCTTCACTGAAAATACATATGACCTTAAAGCATATGAAGTTCAAAAAATGTTATTTATTTATTTACTTTCTCAAAAATATTTTCTCATTTTAGAGGTGTTTCCCATGTGAGATACTGCATTATTTCCCCTCAAAATGTACGCTGAGTTTTGACATATCTTTGTCTAGTACGTAGCGCTGCAATACTGCGCAGATCTAATTTCAAATTCAAATTATTTCATATTTGATTTTAATGGAAAACGAATCTCTCACAAATGTATATCACCAAGCAGAACTGTTTTATTCTTTCTCAATACTATCAACACAGTTTTACTAGCTTTATTAATCTTTAAATTTTCAAAACACACTTTTTTAATTCAGAGTGTCTGTATTATCAAGCGAACTATTCTTGGATTAATATGAAGTTGTTGATCAATTTATCTCACAAGAAACGATAGGGGGTAATTCCTGTTCTTTGAGCTGAGAATTAATTTTATTTATTTTATTTTGTTTCATTTTACTAAATGTTCCGCCATTAGACTCTACAAGAGAGGTGAGATTTAGTCAATTAGTTTTCTGGTAAGGTAAAGAACAATCAATTGTTATGATACTGAGCAATCTTGTTTATTGATGTTGACATTGTTTTTTTGCTTTCAAAAACGCCTCATAGCAAAGTCATCGCTGCCTATGAGAATTATAAAGTAAATGATTTATTTTATATTATTTTACGGTTTATGCATGTTAAAAAAAGAATCATGAATTTACACAAATGTAAAAAAATAAGAGTTTTAAGTTGGGCTGTCGTTAAGATATGGAACGTCTTTACCAAAAGATGAATTTTTTCAAATGTAAACATGTTACATATTAGAGCCAGCTGTTGTTTTAGAGTATAATGACTCGAACTGTTCTAGCGAAACAAGTTATTTGATGCAATGAACCTTAAAGCGATATTTATGATGGATATTGAATGCAACAGTATATATACCAAAAATATTGTGATTTGTTTCGATTGGAGTTTAGATAAAAGCTTTCAAGTTTATAGTATTGTTTCACATCATTATCTATCATACGAATGCAAATAGTGAAAAGATATTTGTAGGTAAAATGCAGGTGTTTCTTTAACGACCTCGTTTATCTTATTAGCGGAGTAATAATATAGGTGTATGCAAGTAAATCTTTTAAACTGTGTCATTTTAAAATTAATTCCTGTTATATAATACTTACGTACCTCTAATGATGCAGAGACTTAAATAAGGCTACAGCCAATAACATTTCAAATTTGTGAACCAAAATTTTAAATTAACCAGTGAGGACAGATCTGAACTGACACTAGATGATGTGAAACTGGACTTTATCTTAGAGACGTCGCACATTTTTTCACTCTCTCGCTTTGCTTCTGCCAACTTGCTAGTGTCTAATACTACGTCATTTTGGGGTACAGTGGTACCTCAGTGTACATCATTAATCCGTTTCAGATCCTTGTACGTATACCAGATTGGACGTTATACTAAACGAACATTTACAATAAGAAATAAAAGAAAATAATTAATTCGTTCTATAAAAAACTCGTATAATTATTATCGCAAAACTCTTTAATACTAAAATACAAATGCGATGGTGATTTGTATTGCTGTACATAATGAAGGGCTGCACATGATACTGTGCGGAAATATTTTGATGCTATCTGGATCAAAAGCAATTTTTCGACGTGTTCTAACGTCTCTGATTATTTGTTTGGAAATCCATTTCACTCCCTTCGCAACATCAGCAGATTTAATGAAGTCTTTGATTTACACAATCGTAGATAACATCTTGCTCAGCATATGGTGTGCAATAGCCAAGTCTCGGATACGCATGCTATCTTCACACTTTTCAGCTAACTCTTTTCCAATTGCTACTCGAAGAAACAGAAAATCACTTGAAAATTCAACCGCTCATGGGCATCATTGTCTCGAAAGTGGTAAACCAGTGCAGAATGGGCAGCCGTGAGTCCTCGAACTCAAGTCGTGCTACAAACACTTGTCATGTACCAAACAAAACTTTCGCGTCCACACAAGATGCATACCAAGTTAAATGTGTTTCAAAGCAGACATATATCGAGGTACAACTATATTTCAAAAGTCTAAAACCTAGCGATGTCGTTCTTTAAGGAACAGACATGTATTTTGCACCAAGTTATTTGCGGCTGCATATTATCAAAAATAAAACAAATGCTGAACTGGTCCGCGATGACTGCTACTACCTTTCATGCATCAACTTTTAAATTATAGATTTATATCTCAATGTAAATGTTCAACAGAGAAAAATCGGAATGTATCAAAAATTTTTTATTCCGTATTATTTAAATGTTTCAAAAATAGGAGAAATTGACATTTATACAGACGGGTCAGGTCTCTGGGAGACGCCATTGATCTCGCATATGTTGTATATTATTATGAAACAGAGATTGAGAATGATAAATTTAAACTCAATATTTATAACTCAGTTTATCGAGCGGAAACTATGGCTATTTTTTATTCACTGAAATGGATTAAGAAGACTCTTAAAGGGAAATATGATATACATAATTTATTCTGACAGTCTGACAGTTCTTCAAGCTCTTTCACGATCTGATCAAGACAACCCTTTAATGGTAGATATTAGAGAATTATATAAAGACTTCAGAGAAGATCAAAATATTGTGTTTAATTGGGTGAAAGCACACGTTGGACATTTTGGAAGTGAGAGGGCGGACGCACTGTCCAAGGAGGCAATTACCGATGTTAATGCTCGTAATATTGATGTACAGGGATCAATAAGGAAAGCTGTGACTATTATGAAAAATTATATTTATGATAAATGGAGGGGAGGAGCGGGAAAGGTCTAATCGAAATAGATGTTATATGAAATTTGTTAAACTTAAAAAAGGTTTATGTTATTCAGAACATTGACGTTAACCAAATCATTACACGTCATGGCCGTTTTCCTTTCTATTTTAAAAGGTTTAAATTACAAGAGTCTGACCTCTGTGATACCTGTAAAGAACCGGGCACTGCGAAGCATTATGGGGAAACATGTAAATATTTTACTGATATCAGGAACGAATTTAAGAAAAATGATGTTTTTAATATATATGATATTTTAAATGATTTTAAAAGACTGAAAATATTTGCCAGGAAAATGATGGAGAAAATTAATCATGATAAGCTTGCAGTAGAGATTTTAGTTTGAATTTTGTTTTTTAGTTATGTTATGTCTGTTTGTTTGAAGGTGTTGTTTCTAGCTTGCTCTTGCTCTGGCGCAGCCCGCAAAAAGGCCATAGGGCGACGTAAATTCTGCTAGGAGGATCGGGCTGCATCCCTCATATCATATCAATGTATCATAAACACATAACTTGTAAAACAAATTCTGTCTCCCTACCCGGCCTGAGTACTGTCTTTTAATAATTTTATTTTAACAACAAATTTAACATCAGAATTATTTTTCAGGCGCAAAGGAAATTGATATTGCAGCTACTCTTGAACATGTTCGTGATCAACGCGCCGGGATGGTTAAAACCAAGGTAAGAACTTCATTATAAGGTAGCATTTTAACATTCAAATTTTAAACGTTTAATACGCGCGTAAATAATGCGTGTTTATTACGCGCATAAATAATGCACTGAGCATCGTAATTTTCGCCACAATTCGTACACGCCACAGTGTCTCGTTATGAATAACATGGTCTTGAATGAGCGATCGTAAGTTGTTAAAAGTTTAAAAAAATTTCATTAAAATTTTACAATTATTAAATGTTTAACTGTATCTAAAAATATAAAGACCAGAATTAATTTTAGAAAATTGTGCTTGAAACTATATACAAGCATTAGATGTGTATTAAGTAAATAAAATGTATACAAGCCTTTATGTGACTTTTATTGATAGGTGCATACATATACACGATCGAATGAAATCTAATTTTATGTATAAAGCTTAATACTTCCTAATTTTGTATATACTTCGTTTTTTTTACTATACACATAACTCGTTGATGGAAACATGTGAAAATGATTTCTGAAATTCACTGTTAAATGCAACTGTGTATAACTTTTACCTAAATATACAAATATTTGATTGCGTATTGCCGAAACATTCATTTTTCATAAAACGCGTTTGGTCTTACAACGTTAATTTATCATCCCCATATTATAATGAGAGAGAGTTGTATTTATTCCAAGACATGTTTTGGGTTAATTTATAGTTAAATATATTAAGTATATTAATTAAGTTTAATATACTTTTGCGAATTATGCGAAATTTACAAAACTGATAATCTTATTTTTTTATCATGATATATTTAACATGATGATATTTTTTAATCATTCATCGCTTTGTGTTTATTACTTAGTATATGTCTTGCATACAACAAATAATTTAGAACTAATTTTGATTATCTCTGAATACGTTTAGCGCAAGTATTGCGTCGTATATTTTAATAATTTTAATATTTGTTAGCCTGATTGTGCTAGTTAAGAAAGTTAAACACTTTTAGGAAATATTATTCTTTTAAATGCAAGAACTGTATTGTTATATAAAGCTGAGTTTGTTAACTCGTGGATTATTCGTTTAACTCCTCCGAATAAAAAAATTTTGATCATTATAGCAGATTTATTTTACTTTTGAATTTTTTCATTGCATTTTCATCACAATTTCATACAGTGAATTTTTTCATTGCATCAGTAAACTAAATGTCCACGTCTTTTGTATTCATACAACTCCAATATTCAAATATCTCGTCTCGTAATCACATATAACAAACTATAAAGTACAGTAATGAATGTTGTATGCATACATATGGACGTAAATGCATGTATTTATTTATTGTAAATTTTTTTTAGAATTGTCATAGTTCAATAAAGCATCGATATAGTCAGTACTAGATTTAGAATGCATCCAAACAGTCAAGAAACTGTATTTTCTCATCAAGAAAGGTAAAATAAGAGGGAAAACGGGTCTAAACACTACATTCAATAAACAAGGGAAATTTACATAGTTTTCCCTCATTCATATATCGCAAGTAAAAATTAAACTTTGTCTCTGAACGAAGAAATAAATGTTTCAAGCATTTTTAAATCCCTTGTTAAATGTCATAGTGTTAAAGGTACATCCTAGCAGGCTAACAATAAATAAATGTGATATATTGAATAATAAACTGAAATGCAATCTTAGATTAGTCAGTAGATATAATATCAAAGGTTATTTCCATTATCTGAATCAGATGAAATAATTCATTAAAAAATATTTTGGTCTTACTTACCCTCCGTTAGCAATTAGAACACTGTAAAAAGAAATGCTATGAATTTCATTATTCTGTATAAACAAATTTACATCGAATAAACAATACATTTTATCATTTACCCGATGAATTTTAGAAGTTTAGAATTAGTGTATATTATATAATTTTAGATGATCACAGGTGAGAGGAAATGCTTCAGAATGTTTTGTCTTTATGTTACAAGCACGTTTTCTCAGTTAATAGGGCTTTGGACTAGTCTTTCTAAATATGAAAGAAGTTTCAATTAATCTAATTAATATCAGCTGGTTAAAGAATGTTTTTAAAGGTAGTAAACTTGATGCTTTTCGTTTTGATGCAGATAACTTAAATTTACGTCGATACTTATAATTTGGCAGCCTGTTGATTTCTCTTAACCAAAATATAAAAATTATCGGTGACATTACGTACTGTATTTTAAGATAGTTATTTTACAATAATATACTTATCTTACAAATATCTTATTTTATCTAAAATTAGTAAGATCTTATATATTAATATAAGATATTTATCTTGCACTCTTAGATTAGTCAGAGTGAAAGCTACGCTATGTTAACTTTATGTTAACAGCACGTTTCTGTTCTGAGTTTTGCTTAATTTGTTTTGTGTGTTAATAGATTTATTTCTTTATCACGTTAAAATATACTGTTAATTGTTTGTTCTGAAATTAATGCAAACAGCAATGAAAAGAAAAAGAAATGTAAGGAAATGAAAGTAGATTTGAGGTAATTTTTATTCTCGTTATAGGCACAGTTTGAATTTGTTCTGATGGCCATTGCGGAAGAAGTTCATGCTATCTTAAAGGCATTGTCTCAGTAGTCATCACTGTTATACTCCCACTGAGAAACATCCTCGACGCCCAGCCCTGTATTGTGTGGACATAACCTAGGCCGATACTTTGATAAACTGCATGGTATAACTTAAATTATCAATTAAGGCATCTGCAACATGTATACACCCCACGAGTACTATCTGCAGCGTGAAATCCCAAGTGATCCTCCAATCCCCCAGTGGCTGCAGGAATGCTATCTTCGTTGAAATATATAACTTGTGTTGTGAATCGTACTAGTATATCATTTGATGTTTCAGCTATGAGTTCCTTATAAGTAAATCTCTGGTCAACAAAGGTGTGATATTTTCTGTTTCATTTACCGATATCTAATTTTGTTTTGCTTCCATTACTCTGCTCTTTAAAAGTTGCTTGTATGTCTTGAGTCAGCTATAATTTATTCTCATATGCAAATCAAGTACTCATTTAAGTTATTTATCCTCGCTTAATTGAGACTACTTATTTATTTACAAGTGCAATGGAAAACATTAGCGTAACTGAGACGATTTGTTATTAATATAGATAATAAAACAGATTTTAACAATTATATTTCTCTTTAACTTGCTTGTAGTGATAAAAATCATGATTCAGCTGCTAATTTTAAGATTATTAGATTTGTGAGTTATATATGAGTTTATTTATATGAACCGTTTCAAATTCATCGCGTTTTTAAACTGTTTATATGAATCTTTAGTTTTAAATTACTTAGCTCATTTCTTTAAATTTTCGAGGAAATCAGCTTTTTCAATATATTTCCCAATTTCTTAAAAGAAGTTCTATGTGGTTTTAACGAAGTTTAAGATTTTAGCTTCAGAAATCTAAGTTTTGTTTCAGAATTGATTATTTGTAATATGTTATTAAATTTCTTAACTGACTCAGATTATGCATTATGTTCCTTTTTTTTTTTTTTTTTTTTTTGTAATATGTTTAATTTGCTAAAATTATGTTTCTGAATATATTTTAATACGTTAATCACCATTTTATCATCGGAACAATGAAACTATTTATACATCTAAGCATCTTCGGTAATTTTGGAAATTTAATAAACATATACGTAATGAAAAATGAATAAAACATACAGAATATTGGTTTTGATTATCGTGTTCTCCAAATGATTAGTTTTTGAAGTCTTTTTATTATAAGTTCACTGCAAAGTTGTACCCTTAATTTTAACTTCATTAAATTTTTAGTACAGTTTAATGTATTTTTTTATATAAATTAAATATTTTTGAAAATTCAGAAAAATCCATCTTTTCTAACTGATACATATAGAAATACATTTAGTACATAGTAATGTAACAAGCCTAAAATTATTTTAAAACTAGTAAAGCTGATATTGATGACAAATCTTTGCCATTTCAGATTGAAGTATTACATCTTTATATCATAGCATATTTACGTTTTCAACTCAGAAAAATACAATATATTAGAAAGTGAAACGTGAAAACTGAAGGTCTGAGTTTCAGTAAGATATCTTAAACTTTTCACCTCTGTTGGCCAAATATTTTCTTTTAAGGAAGAAATACGTCAATGAAAGTATGGCTACTAAGTTTCGTGTATTATTCCATATAAATGTGTAATCCTAAACTCTGTAAGTCCTTTTACTGTAGTATAAAATTTATTGTACTTAGAATTCTATTATTACAATCTTCATTTTTCAGAGCAAATAGTAATTGTATGTAAAATGTACCAAACTTCAATATATGTCTATATATGTTGATAATTCTGTCTTTTTCATTCAAAATCTATTTCTGTCCTTTAAAGGCTAACTGCTGTCAAACTTCTTCAGTCATAAATGTAATGTTATGGTACTCTCTAACTTGGACATAGGTGAATTACGTAGTTCTTTCTGTCTCTCTCGCTAACATCAAGTTAGTAGCATGAAATGTTTCTACCATTATTATAATTAATTTTAGACGGTGAGAAAGCTGCTTGCATTAAAGTGACTGGATACAAAAAAGTATAGGGTTATGAGATGATTATCGCCAGCTGCTTGCTTACATTATAACACAAGGGAGGCTTTTCTGTGAGTCAATATTTGTGAAGTTTTTAGCTGCACATTTTGTTCTAAATATTAAAAGTTAATAATATCAAATGGTAATTTTCATTTAGTACTATACTATTAGTAAATAAAAATAGCAGCTTATATTACATCGTTATCACTCTGAACTGAGCGATGAATTTCCTTATACTTCTGAAAATACATTTTTAATTTGTGATTTAATATGATAATAACATTAACTGTACAGTACGCTTTAAACTAAAATACTTTAAGCCAATAAATTAATGCGATACATTCTGGAACCTTTATATATTTTAAAATATTCTGTAATATATTCTGGAAACTTTGATTTATTTTTAAAAACCAATAGCATTATTAAATCACATAAAAATCATTTTAAATTTAGTGAGATACTTTATGACGAGTTCAGTATATATTTCAGGTAAAAATATCACACTTTTCCATTAACATAAACTAAGTCTAATGAGTCTAATGATGTTATGGTATATATAAAAAGAGATATATATATAGATATTAAAATTCGACATAAAACAATTTTTCAGAGTTGTCTTAGGCATAATATTCTTCTTTTCTTAAACGTTTGCTCTTCCTTTTGTAGGTAAATGAATTTATAAACTTTTCTCCTTATTTTCAAAAGACTATTTTCGTATAATTAGAACCATTAATACACTTAAAGAAAGATTTCGCAAAATACTTTGCGAAATTTTCGAAATCTTGTATCCTTTTTATTTTCGAAATTTTGTATGCTTTTTATTTTCGAAATCTTGTATCCTTTTCTTTTTTTATTGTCATGTATAAATTTCACTTTTATTGTCTTGTACTCAGACTTCCCTCGTTGTTCTCCTGTATAAGGAATATGCATTTATAACGTATTTTGTATACAGAAGCCTGTATGAAATATATTTCTTAGATCTTATATTTAAACTCACAGTTTTCATGCTGAATCAAAACAACAGCCTTTAAGCCATCCTAAGAAACATTTTCAAATAATTTCATAGAACATATTTAAAAAATATTTCGGTCGAGAATAAAATAAAATATTGGAAAAATTATAAGTAATAAATTCATGAATTTCATTTATAAAATTTGTATAATTTTTTTAATTTGTATTTGTGTTTGGCATTATTACTAAAATAATTAAATCTCTTAAAATTAAGCAAAAGAGAAACCTTAGATTGGCATAAATTTTGAATAAAACTCTCATCATATATAAGGTGACTCTTTTGCATTATTTAAAATTTTACGTTGTCGTGTTTCTGTTCTAATCAATAAATGATGTGCCAAATTTGTTTTTATTAACTAAGTAATAAAACTTATCGAAATATTAATTAAAAACAGGAATCAACTGCAAGCAGCTGGTTTGCTACGGGGTACGATAAGCTTTGTAATTCTCCTTGAATTACAAACGCAGCTGGTCTGCTGATTACGCATATGAAATGTTTATAAAATATGGAATGAATTTTCATAAAAAATTTAAATAAGTTATAGTAAAAATTTAAGTAGAGGAATTTATTAAAAATAAAATAAGAAATAATTCAGTTCAAACTCCCTCTAATTATTATGACTGATAGAAACTGAATTATAAGCTAAGATTTATTTTCTTCAAGTTAATAAAAATCTGTATATCAGTAGAATCTGCAAATTAATTCGTAAAATCTGTAAGAATGTATTATTAATTTAGAAATACAGGAGATATTTTTTTCAGGTTAAAACTAACAAATTATATAGCTCATGTTATCATGTAATTTTAGTATTTAATTCCTGAATTCTGATACATAATGTGCTTGGAACTAATTTCTGTGATTCATTACGACTGTAAATGTAGTGACTTTAAGTCACTGCATTACAAGACTATTATTAATTATATTTAAATAAGAATTAATAATTAAAAATAAATATTAAAATTATCTTCTCTCAAGTAACTAATAAATAATGAAAGATTTATATCGCAGTCTTATCAAGAAATCATATAGCTATATAATAAAAATTTAAGCTTTTAATTACTATTGTTTCCTATAATTATGGAAACAAACTTTTTAATTCAAAAAAAAAAAAAAAAAAAAAAAAAAAAAAAAAAAAAAAAAAAAAAAAAAAAAAAAAAAAAAAAAAACAAAAAAAAAAAATAAAAAAAAAAAAAAAAAAAAACAAAAAAAAAAAAAAAAAAAAAAACAAAAAAAAAAAAAAAAAAAAAAAAAAAAAACTAGCAAAACTTAATTTTTAATTTTCAAGAATAACTTTTAAAGCCTGTCATAAAACACTTTAATGTAATTTGCAAATAATGCTGTATGCTTTTCAAATATCTTTATTTATAACTGCAGCACAAAAAGCCGAGAAAAAAGAAATAGTTATAAAACTGGTAAATGTTTAGAGATAAACTCAACCATAAATATATATATTGCAAGATTTCACAATTTTCTGAATTTGATAAATAATTCCTTATGGTATTTTTACAAGGAAAGTGAAGGGAATATTATAAGTATATTGTATTTTTAAAACGCACGCAGTTTTGCGAATACACAGTAAAAGAGATAAAGCAATTTTAAAGCTAGTATTACATCAAGGAATATTAATAAAAGAAATTATATAAAAGAAATCATTTATGAAATATAATTTTCATCTCCGGAGTGCTGTTCAGTATAGAGAGATATTTGTTCTGCATGTATATACTGTATGTGAAATATTTAATTTATGGCGCATAATTGCCAAACTACCAGTGTCGTAATAGCCAAAATAAGGAAAAGGTGAAGACTTTACTAACAAGAGATCCTTATGTTATTTATTTCTGAAAGCTTTTCGTGCTTTGTATATGTAATGTATGTAAAATATTTAACCCACGTAGTATTTAGATCTGGTCAGGCCTTCGATCTGTATTAAAGAGGCTAGACCAGAAGTCCAATGTCTCAGAACTTAAACTGAAAAATCCAGACGCGCAGTATGTATTTTCATCTGTGCATGGGATTCTTAATGAACTATGATGTAGTTAATTTTTTCGTGTTGTAATAAATATTGAATTAAGAGCACACATATGCTTTCCAGTCTGTACATCGAGCCTTTTATGTATCTGATGTCTGTAAGATGCAAAAAGGCTTCATCAGTATAACAATATATCGTGTGCACTGTATATACGTTATTCACTGCACTATTCTTTCCTGAACTACGCTCATAATCCTGCCAAGTATACTGTAAATAAAAAAAAATCAGTTCACGTGCATTTTGTTTGCAAAAAATTGTCTTTAGTGTTCGGGTGCTATGATTAAAGAGAAACTCGCCATACATATGAGGAGAATAGACTGACAGCGATGGCTGGTACAATGACTTTTTGCAGCTTTTTCAAAAATATCAGCACATCGGTAAATATAAATTTATTCTGAAATTAATTTTCATTCGTTAGTGTAAAAATGTCGCATTGCATTCATCTTATTTTATATAAAATTGGTAGAATCTAAATGGCGCGTAATAAAGATCATCACAGAAAATAATATAGAAATTTAAAATCAACATATTTATCTGGTACCAAGCTGGAAAATATCTAATTAATATCACTCGCTATGAAAGAACAGGTTTTTAGTACTTTATAATTCTTTATAATTTATAATTATTACTTCTTGTTAAATGACATAATTTGATTAAACGCGTTATTAATGAATGCTATTTATTATGTCCTACATTAACACCTGCCATTTATTTGCACTTATTATCTTAATTTTGTAAAATTATTTCATCCGAAATATTTATTATAAACGAGCTAATAATGCTGCGTTGTTTGAAGTAAAATAATAAATATTAAATGTTATAATTATTTTACATGCTTTATTGTTTCCATTTTGTGAAATATTTCTGAGGCAATCAAAATGGCAAATATAAAATCTCTATTGCTATTTCTTCAAATTTTGACAAAA